CGGCAGGCCCGAGGGCGCCTGCGGGCGGCGGAGCTGGCGCAGGACGAGGAGCAGCCGCGTGCTCATGGTGCCTCGCAGACAGGACAGTTAGGACGCGGCGGAGAGCGAGCGCGCGTAGATCCTTCTCCGACGCGGAGGTGGCGACTACCGAGCGCTGAAGCGCGGCGGCGCCAAGTCCCTCCCGGGTGTGGCGGGCGGGGGCCAGACGAGAGAGCGGGATCCTGCGGGTAACGGGCCGGCAGCAGGAAGAACCTGGCTCTTCCTCCGCAGTCACAGCGGGAGCCCCTAGGGGGCACGGCACCTAGTGGCCGTGACGTTCGGAGGGCGGGGGCCTGCGGGGCGCGGAGCTGCTCGTTCGAGCTCCCAGGACCTCACGGATAGGCTTTCAGGCACTATAGACTACTTCAAATTTGGTTAGGGATCCAAGTCAGAGGAAGGTGAGGTATCAGGGTGGCCTTGGCCGTCCCTGAAACCATGCATCCTTCCTTTCTCCTAGGATGCTGGTTGCACCCTCGGCCCTCAGGTGGCAGTTTTCGTCCTGGAAGAGACTGTGGCAGTGTGTTCTGCTTAGATAGGAGAGCTTAGGTTTATTTATGCAGGAGGTGGCCTAACAGCTAAGAGTGTATGGGTCTTGGAGTTCAAATGCTGGCTTTGTAGCTTCAGGCAAGTTAACTTAAACTCCGTGAACCTCAGCGCCTTGTCTGTATAAAAGAGAGAGCAATGCTTTCCTTGTAATCTTAGGATGTTGATGTTGTTAGTTGCCATGAAGTGGATTCAAACACATGGCTACCCCATGTGTGCAGAGTAGAACTGCTCCATAGGGTTTTCAAGGCTGTGACCTCTCGAGATCAAATTGCCAGGCTTGTCTTCTGAGGCACTTCTGGTTGGGTTCGAACTGCCAGCCTTTCAGCTAGTAGTCTAGTTTTTAAAACCTTTCAGCTAATAGTTGAGGAGTTAATCATAACCAGTAAGGTGGGAATAATACTAGTCTGTGGTAACAGGTACTGGTTTTCTATCAACTAAGCACTGTACTGTTGTTGTTAGGTGCCATCCAGTCAGTTCCAACTCATAGCGACCCCGTGTACAGCAGAAGGAAACACTGCCCAGTCCTGTGCCATCTTCACAATTGTTGTTATGCTTGAGCCCATTGTTGCAGTCACTGTGTCTATCCATCTCATAGAGGATCTTCCTCTTTTTCACTGACCCTCTGCTTACCAAGCATGATGCCCTTCTCCAGGGACTGATCCTTCCAATAATATGTTTGAAGTATGTGAGATGAAGTCTCACCATCCTTGCTTCTAAGAAGCATTCTAGCTGTCCTTTTTTCAAGACAGATCTATCGGTTCTTCCGGTAGTCCATACTATATTCAGGATTCTTTGCAAACACCATTATTCAAAGGCATCAATTCTTCTTTGCTCTTCCTTAATCATTGTCCAGCTTTTGCATACATATGAGGTGACTGAAAACACCATGGTTTGGGTCAGGTACACATTAGTCCTTAAAGTGACATCTTTGCTTTTCAACCCTTTAAAGAGGTCTTTTGCAGCAGACTGGCCCAATGCAATAC